CCCCCCTCTCATGCTCTCTATCTCATTCTCTCTCTCAAATAAATAAATAAAATCTTTAAAAATAATAATAATTAAACGAACTTCAAGCATAGGGGGGAAAGGTCCAGGTCCTTAGTACCGTTCTGCCCGAAGGGAGGAGGGGCAAGTGATTCCTTCTGCTGATATGTTTTGGGGAGGGGGAGGTACAACGGGGGCTGCAGTGGGAGCATCCTAGCCCATGCATCTGAGAATCTACCCAGATCCAGTTCAGGGAATTCTATTCTGCACCTGTCACCAGACCATGGATAGCCTCAGTCTAAACAAGCACTTTCCAAAGTGTAGTGTATAGAACATACAAGGTCAGAAGGCTTGGAAAATACTACATACCATAATCCCTTATGGGGATTCATGCACAATTTCTACTAGCAGATTCTAAACACCAGAGAGTCCTTTAGTAAAGAAAGCTGTTTGGCTTTGTTTAGCCCAACACACTTATTTGACCCTCTCACCACTGCCACCATAGGAAAAAAGACCTATTAATATCCGTGGCACAGGCTTTGGAAAATGCCTTCCACCTGAGCCTTCATTTTCCAACATAGAGAAAGCTGCGTTGCTGAGGCCCAGGTATGGATGTGAGATCCACTCCATCAGGTCCGGACAGAGATGGGTAGCATCTCAGCTAAGATAATATAGATTAGGACAATAGCCAAGGGTCCTGCTAGAGCCAAAGAGATAGAAGAGCCTCCAGAACAGTGGCAGTTTAGGAGGAGACTGTGACTCTGTCTTGGGAGGGCAAACTTCACTCATGACCTCACAAGTCCATCTTGAGCTTAACATGTCACTGCCCCTCGTGGCCTAGAAGTCTCCTTGGACTAAGGAGCACTGGTCCCAAGCTCAAAGCCTTATTTCCTCTTTGAACAAAAATTAAGACAATCTGTGATAACCAGGCCCAGGGCCTGCATCTCCTGCCCAGGAGACCAGACTGCATTCACTTTTACCACTTATGTACCCCTTACAAACACCAGGACAGGAAAGGCTAGAATCAAATTATGTCTCACCAAGAAAGATACTACTCCCCCTTCCTCTGAAAGGATGCTTTGGGATTGCCTCTAAGGGTTCATTTTTCCTTCTCATCTTTCTGAGGCATGCATGACTCTCATGGGAGTTGGACAAAGGGGCTTCACCCGCTAAATATCAGCTCCATGACAGGCCTTGCCCACATCATTCATTCTTGTATCCCCCTGCCTACAATACAGTAGGTATCAATAAATATTCATTGAATGAATGAATGTATGAAATAATGAATGAGTGAACGATTTAAGTGATTAATCTATCTATGGCAATCTCAAGAGTCAGTAGAGTATATGGTTAAATAGATAGGCTCAAGCCAGACTACCTAGGTTTGATTCCTGTTTTACAACTTAGTTGCATGACCTTGAGCAAGTTATTCAATTTTTCTGGCTCGGTTTTATTCCCTATAAAATGGGGATAATAACAGTACCAACCTCATCGGTTGTCATGGCAATTAAATTAGCATGTGTAAATATGCTAGAATAGGCTTAGAATAGTACCTGGCACATAGTATATGCTTTAAAGTATTATTTATCAACGTCATTGTCATCATGATATCAGGTACAAGAGGCAGTCCAACTGGGAAACCAAACATGAAGTTTCATCTAGACACTGAATCCTTTTATTCAATATTACTTATGGAGTGCAGTTATATGCCAGGCACTCTCTCAAGCTCCTATTTGGGAGCAAAGAGAAGGAAACCATGTATAAATGTGAAACCAGATCAGGAGAAACAGCCTTCTCCTCTATGATTGATACTTCTTGCTGACTTTGCATGGCCAGTGTTCTAGCCATGAGCCCATCTTTCTATGCCCTAGGCCCCTTATATATCAAAGCCCAAAGACAAGGTCTCCTCTCCTCGATATGCAGCCAGCACTCAGAAGATCTAAGAGATTAATATATTTGGGGGAAGAACCAGGAAGACCAATGAGCTTTAGGGGAGAAAAGGTATCTCCCTGCTTAATCCCAAGGCTATATTTTATCTGCCCATGATATTTTCAAGATCTGGGTATGATTTAAAAAAAAAAAAAAGATCTGGGTATGATTTTGAGGCCATTTGAAAAGCTATTCACCTAGTGTCAGGACAAGAAAAACAGGCCTCATCTCTCAAAGAAATTTTTGACCTAGCTGAAAGCTACTCATCCCTCATCTAGGATCTCAGAAGGACTAAGGGTATGCTGAGGGTGGGGCCAAGAAGTCCAAGAGTCTCCCCAGAACCCATCCATGCAAACTCCATGATTCTTAGACAGGGCAGCCCAGTTCCATTATCTTCACAGCAAGCCAGCCCCTCAGAGTTTCACCCAGAGGAGTAGCCAGCCCAGGCTTATTACTCCAAACCTGCTGCCAACACTTGGAGATGTGAGAGCTGAGAGGAGCTCTGTCTTCCTGGCTCAGTAGCTCAACTATCACTCAGCAAAGATGCTTCACAGCCAGGGGAGGAATTTCTCCCATGAGGGCTCCAGCCACCATCAACTTTTCCCTGAAGCTGACCAATTATTGGTCACCACGTCAAGGGGGATAGCCAACATGGGCTCAAGACCATGCTAAAATTCCTTCCTTCCAGCTTTCACCTGGCTCCTTTGCTAATTTGTCACACCTAAGCTTCCAGACACATACAAGGATCTAACAGTTTGGGGAAATGACACTGTAGTTAGCAAGCGTCTCCTACTCCAGGGCCTCTCAAAACTTCCCCCAGAGGCCTCCGCCAGCCGAGACGAGCCATTAGGAGCTCCACTGGCAAAGCAGCTACCGGGAAGTTCAAGGGCAGAAAGCAGACTTCCAGAGGCCAGTACACCTCCCATGCTGGGAGAGAGCCAAAGAGGTAAGGATGAAGGCCTCGAATGAACCCACACCCTGTCAGCCTGTCCATCCCCGCAGCCGTGGGCATCCGGCTGGTCGTCAAACACCTAGAAAATTGCCCGGGAGCTTAAGTGAGCCAGCCTCATCTCAGCTCCCTGGCGGCCTACACTGGATTCGAGAGGTTTAGAGAAATTGAGGGACCCGGGATATGCTGCCACCCCGGACTGGCTGCAGCCCAGGCCACCGCAGAGACAGCGGCCGGAGCACTGGCAAGGGCCCGGGCAGGGCTGAGTTCGGGGTTGGCGCCGCCGCCAGGGTGGCCTGCGAAACCCAGAGCCGAGGTTCCGACCTCCGGGGGCTCCAGCTCCGGTCCTGGGCAGCAGGGGCCGCGGGGCGCGGGCCCAAGGTCAGCCTCGCAGCATCGCGCGCACTCATCGGGTTCCGGGGCCAGGGCCCTGTCGTGGGCCCGAAGGGGGCGGCCCTCGGGGCTGGAGGGCAGTTGGCGGCGCGGCGCAGGGCGCATGGCAAGCGCCGCGGAGGGGCTGTCCGGCACCGCAG